AATACATTACACCAAAACATGCGCAGCATCATCATTGTAAAACAAAACAGACTGGGCAATTGGGGCAGTAAGTATCATCATTGTAAAATACATTACACCAAAAAATTTGGGGCAGCATCATTTGAACCATTAGTCTAAGTAAGTAAACAGGATGGGGCATCAACCAAACTCTTCTTCCATGAACCCCTACTCTAAGTCAATTGGGGCATCATCATTCCCAAAGAAAACGGACTTGAATGTTGTCTTTGATCTAGTGACATATCTTGGTCCTTTTTTGACCTCTAGCTTTTTCAGTTTGGGTTTTACACAAGGGGGTGGTCCAAAGCTAATCCTGACCCCATGTGTAGTCCTACTTTGACCCTCATGCCTCTCCTCTTCATTCTCTGCATTACTTTGATGTTGCTTATGTTCTTCAATATCTTCTTCACTATGTTTTTCATTATGTTCTTCTTCACTCTCTTCTTCATCCATTTCTTCAGACTCTTGCCCATTCTGTGGTTGACTAACACCCTCTTGTCCTTCATTTGTCATCATACTAGTGCCTTGGCTATCATGTGTGAGCTGTGTGAACATACCAGTCTCCTCTACACACACAACAATAGGCATTTCACTCCCATATGCTGCCTCATCTGCACACACCATGTTGATATCCACTAGGTTTGCTTCATCAAATGGCTGGACATTAGAAGGTGTCACATCCTCAGAACCATCATGTATGTCAATTGCAGGAGGCTGTTTCTTTTTTTATTTTGCACTCCTTTTTCTAGGCTGCATCTGAGATTAAAAAACCACAATGACTCTTTAGCAACACTACACAACCACATCAACAACAAATTTACATACTAACTACACAACAAACACAGAAAATCATATACAAGAGTGAACACAGAAAAGTAAAATATATTGTACCAGTTTTTCCTTGTTCTTTGGGTCATCTGGACATCTCCTTGCATTATGTCCTGCCTTCTTGCACTTAGTACAATGAAGCTTGATATGTGTCCTTGCTACTCTCACTCCATCTGTGCTTAAGTCCACTGCAGATTTCCTCCTCAATTTGGTAGGTCTTCCAGGTCTTGCAGAATACAATGGTGGAAGAGGAGGTGGTGTTTCAGTTAGAGGCCACTCATCTGGTCCTGCCATTGGCCTAATGGACCCCCCATATATATTCAGATATGTCTCCTTGGTATAACAAGGATGTACATAGTCATCTATTGGCCCCTTTCCATGTTTCATCCATATTGCACATATTGCATGCTTACATAGTATCCCTGTTAAGTCCCAGAGCCTACAAGTACACATTCTCTTCTCCAGATGAACTGCATGTTGTGTACCAGACATTCCCATTATTTCAAACTCATTGTCACCGCATTGGTACCCAATTAAACCAGCAGCAAACTTCTCAATATCTTGTATTTTTCTTACAATTCTTGGACACAGGTTTGTAGTCCACTTCTTTGCTTTTTCCCTACTACTAAAAAGCTTAGTTAGGAGAAGTTTCCTAATGGTTTCTAGGCACACCAATAAAGCCTGACCTCTAGCCTTTAAAATGACACCATTAAAACACTCACATATGTTGTTAGTCAACATATCAGTTTTGGAGAAGCAAGAGAAGTGTGACTTAGACCATTCCCTTGGATGTTTGTCTGCCAGCCATTCAAATGCTTGTTCATCTATTTCTTTCATCTTGGTAAGACCAGCTTTGAATGAATTCACAGTGCATGCCCTGGAACAGTCCCACAAGCAGTCTTTAATTGCTTTCCCATTGTACCCCGCAGCCTTCATGTTCCCATGGAGGTGTCTCACACAAAATCTGTGTTCTACTCTTGGGAGTAGTTCATTAACTGCTTGAATCAGGCCCTTTTGTTTGTCAGACATTAAGGTAAACAAGTGCTCATTGGAATCATTAATATCAGCATCTCTTCTCAGTAGGTTTAAGAACCAAGCCCAAGATTCTCTTGTTTCCCCTTCAACAATTGCATAAGCAAGAGGAAAGATGCTATTATTTGCATCTATTCCAATTGCAACAAGTAGCTGCCCTCCTGTATTTGTTTTTAGATGAGTCCCATCTACCCCCAACACTGGCCTACAATGCTTAAACCCTTCCCTACAACCTTCCCAGCACATATACATCCTCAGGAATCTTTGTTGGCCATCTGCTTCTACATATTCACTCAACTTCACAACACAAGTGCTCAGGGGATTGGTTCTTCTAATTTCTGCCACATAGGACCATATTTTTTTGAAATTATCATCCTCTTCACCTCTAAGTTTCCTCTTGGCCTTGCTCATTGCTCTGTATGCTTGCCTCTGAGTCAGATGAAAACGTTCATCTGTACAAACCTTCTGTCTAAACTCCTTTGTTTTCCAATTGGAGTGACTCAGAATATCTTTAAACCACCTATTAGCTACCTTAGTGGAGTTCACCATTTTATTGTGATAGACCCAACTGCAACCATCATGTGTGTCATGATATTGCAGTATCCACCAGGAGTGAGAATTAGCCACCTTTCTCAAATTAATCTTCCAGGGACAGTCCAAATTCTTGCACTCCACAACTATTCTTTCCTTATCATTTTTTACAAACTTAAGGTCTTTCCTAGTCTTAAAAGCATGATTCTGGACAGCATCCTTGAATTCCTTCTTGGTGGAAAAGGTCATACCCAACTTAAAACTTGGGTTTTTCATATCAGTTTTTGCATTAAATTTGGAGCACTTCTCAGCCTCAGAATCAGATTCTTTTATTGAGCCATCATCTGACAAATTTGGGTCTGGATCAACCATTGTTGCTTCCTTTTCATTGTATTCTTCTTCATTGGTGTTTTGAACCCCTCCATATTCAACTGTTGGGTCTGTATTGTTTTCAAAGTCAGCATCATCCTTACTGATAAAATCCTCTAAATCAGAGTCAGCATCATCCCCAGAAAATTGTTCTAAATCCTTGTCATCACATGCATAGTCACTATCATCTGAGTCATCTGAATCTTCCTCACCCATGTCTTCATCGCCCATGTCTTCAAATTCAAGCCACAACTCAACAACCTTACCCCCATTTCCATCATTGACAAACCCCCACAATTCTGCCTCATCTTTTAGTTCATGTAAGGTATGATCTAAATAAGAAAACACTTTGTTTACCTTCTGAGTGCAGCCAAGCTCTTGAAGTTTCTCATTTAAGACAATCAACCCAAACTCATCAACTTCTACATCATGAATTAACTGAACTGTGCCTCCCTTGTATGAAGGTCTTCCCTTTTCATTAACTCTTCCTCCATAAAGTAACTTCAGAGTAAATGTATTTTCACAGGTGGCTGAATCTGCTTTATACAAGGTAATATATTAGGTCAATCATATAATGTGGTTCCCAGTAGCACAAAATATACATATTCATAAATTGGTCCAAAAGAAAACAAAGACATGAAACCGTACACAAGCTCACAGTCACACATACCATTGTGTAAAGAGTAAATCAAAATGGTCCCATTTCTGAAATGTAAAAGGATAAAGGGACAAGGGAATCTCAATGAAATAAAGTGAATGCCTACCCTACCATGTGAATTTTAAGACATAAAGGGAGAATAGGGCAGCCTTAAAAACAACCGCATATAATGTAAAGACAAATATACACTGAGACTCGGTTCAAGGTTTTATTGGAAAAATTTCCTGCACAAACTACACACGCCACTTACCTTTACCACTATCATTTGAGGGAGAAATTCGTTCAGCACTTGTTCCTTGTCCATGTTGCCTGCGGTTCATTCCTATTGTTACCATTCCAGGGGGTCGTTTCCTCATCTTCGTATCTGTGTCCAACTTCTTCAGTGTGAAGGAGTGTAGTTCAGAGGAAGAAAATTTCCTTCGTTCAATGAATAGGTCAGAGGGGGGAGAGAATGTAATCAGGGGGATTAGTTTAGCAGGTAACCGTTAACCTTTTAATTTGACTAAACAACCCTTCAGTTTTGTCATTATAATTGTTACCGGAAAAAATTAGCCTGAAATATGGCCGGACGGACTGCGGGTGGTGAGGGGAACATGGTCGCGGACTAAATGTGGACAATCTGAGAGTGAAGGACTAAATGTGGAAGTGGTATCATAGTCAAGGGACCAAAAGTGGAATTATTTCGGTAGTAAATTGTGTTGAAACTTGGGAAAAATGCCCAATTTTGGTAGGGAGTATGCATAAGGTGTGTTTGCAAACACTTTTCAAAAGTGCTTTTCAACTTTTTTTTCAAAAAAACCGAAACAGGGTGTTTGCAAACCCAAAAATCTGATTAATTAAAGCACTTTTAAGCTAAAATCTCAAAGCTGGTTGGAGGGTGCTTCTAATAGCTTTTTGGTATTTTTGTAATTCATTCAAACTTTAGGGATAATAATTAGGTTGAATATTTCAATTAATCCCAAACTAACCCTGTGCTCACCAGTGCCCCGTCATCTTCTTCGTTCTGCTACGCACCGCACTCCTCAAGTCTGCCATGTCCATACCTTTGTTTTGCGAACCTCACTTCTTCAATTCGGCCCACTGCTCTTCGTTCCAAACTCTTCCCTCTCAATTATCACTTTTAATTCCATCAATCCCTCATTAATTCTCCCAATGGGCAATGCTTCCGATACGTTATTGCAATATTGCTTCTACCCATTTAATTTGTAACTCCATGACTGACCTTCCTCTGCTGCTAACCCAATTTCATACGGAGAAAATGAATTTGATGTGGAAACAAGTCAAATTTTGTGGGTATGACAGCTTCTGCACTGAGTCACCGACTTGCAGGCACAGGAGAATGACACGTCCGGAGGAAAGAATAGGAAGAACTCATGGACCTCCAATTTTGTTTATGCAAGGCCAATTTTGTACTTTAACAAAATATTCCATCAAAAATCACTTTTTATCAAACACTTCAATTTTTACCTTTTATTTAAAATCACTTCTGTCTACGAACACTACCTACTTCTACTACAAATCACTTTTCCAATAATCTCTTAAATAAATCAACCAAACGCAAACACTCCCATGGTCGTTCTCCACACCTTACCCTGCGTTTCGGAGCTTTAAATAAATCAACCAAACGCAAACACTCCCATGGTCGTTCTCCACACCTTACCCTGCGTTTCGGAGCTAGATCAGTCCTTGTTTAAAGTTTAAACTACTCCAGTACTACTCTCCGCCGCTCCTCTATTCCTCCCCTCCTCGCTCCTCCTCCAGTCCTCCACCTAGTGAGTTTCAGTCACCGGCTCGCCGCTGCCCTCTGTCTCTCTTTCTCCGCTCTTTAGTCGCCGCCGTCTAGAGTCCTTACTTCCAGTTGCGATTCGCACCAGCCTCCATCCTCGGAGTTCCAGACTTCCAGTGGCTCCCATCAGCACCAGTCCACCAGCGGTCCAGCCTCCGGCGTCCAGTCAATCCACGGCTGCGTCGCCACACCGCCTCCACACGAGCAGGCCTCCACTTCCTGTTATTGGTCAGTCCCCTCCTTCACAAATTACAACATATTTTTACAAACGGAATCTGAAATTCGAAGAGACATTTCCCCGTTCTAAGTGCTCGACTTTCGATTACATCTGAAATCTGCTTTGATTGTCTCAACTATAAATGTGGGTATTATAAATTTTCCTAATGGTTGGATCAATTCATTGGTGTTTTGCTCAATTTTTTGCTTAATTTATTGGTGAGACAGTATGGTTTTTTGCTTAATTTATTTTTTGGTGTGGCCGTATGGTTTAAGTTGTTTGTGTTAATAACAAGCATTTGTTGAGGAAAATTCAGCTCCACTTATGAAATTGTTGATGAACATGGAGTTCTATTTATTTAAACAGGTTCGGAATAATTAATGGAAAAACTGTATCAATACAGTAGTTTTTTTGTGTGACAAAAGTACAATTGTAGAATTTTTTCATCACACAATATTATTGTTCTTAGTTTTTAAATTTGAAGTAATTTCAATCACCCAGAGTGCAAGTGCTAGATCCGCCACTGTCTGGTAGATAAAGATGGCATCTTCGAGACCAGAGCTGAAAGCACCGCCAGAATTTTTTTACAATGATGAAGAAGCACGCAAATACACTTCATCATCTCGTATCGTTGATATTCAGGTATTGGTTAGATATGTAAATATATTAAGTACATTACTGTTACTTCATGTTTCTTATAGAGTATTGATTATTGATGTCAATATTTAGATTCGGTTTATTATTTTAAAAGGTACGCTATCAGCATAAACTGCCCCAAATTACATTGACTTAACTTATGTTCAAATTGTCTTACTTTTTTGGCTGAGCGCAATGATGCATTTTTTTTAAATATGTAAGCTTTATTTGCTCCACAATGTTTTGTTTGAGTAATGGCACCTAATATACAGGCAAAACTTTCTGAAAGAGCATTGGAGCTTCTTGCTTTGCCTGAAGACGGAGTCCCCAGGCTACTTATTGACATTGGTATGATGTACTAAAATTTTCCTGGAAGTAAATTTCATGCTACAACCATGTAAGAACTAAGAACTTCTATTCTATTGCTTGCTGAAGATTTAGGTTACATTTTCAATTCATGTGAACTGTTAGGAAGTAGCTTAATCGATCATTTTATCTATGGAAACAATAGACTTACATTGGAAGATTAATGTGGAGAACTTTGTAATCTTTTACTATGTTGGTTCTAGGCGGATTAAAAGGTTTCCTTTTATAGCACTCAATGCACACATTTCTATCCAATGAGCATAACTGAAATGATTAAACATGTAAATTACTTGCGTAATTTTATATAGCTTGCTAGTTCATGTGCTTATATATTACATAGTTATTGGCTCATTGTTTTTAGGAATTTTATCAATTCAGGACCTGAAAGATAGACGAATTATCAATCCGGGACCTAAAAGATAAAATGCATCGATATAAGACCCGGATGATGAAAAACTATCAATTTAGGATCTGAATGATTGAAAACTATCAACCTAGGACCTAAATTGTCATAAATTTTATTACTTTTTTTATTTTGAAAATTTTAAATATTATTTAGTTTTATTAAACTAATAAACTTTTGTGAAGAAAAGTTTATCAAAAATTAGTAATGCAATTAATAAAAAATTAAATAAATCAAAACCTATAAAATGTTAGGTCCTAAATTGATAGTTTTCCGTCATTCGGGTCCTGTACCGATACGTTTCATCTTTCGGGTCCTGAATTGATAAATAATCTATCTTTTGGGTCCTGAATTGATAAAATCCCTTGTTTTTATTACATTAGAAAATGATTTAGCACGAAGAGGCTAATGATTTTTATGTTGAAACTTGAGTTCTTTAATGATATATTTAGTTATTTTATGCTTAACATATTTTTTCCCCTGAATCAGAGAATTGTTTGTTTTGTCTTTTAAGGCTGTGGGTCAGGTCTAAGTGGGGAGACTATAACTGAGTCAGGAAACCATTGGATTGGTTGGGATATATCACAATCAATGCTCAGTAAGTGATGTTTGAAACTTACTTCAATGCAAGTATTGAGATTCCCAGTTCTTGTTTATACCTTTGTAGTTTTTATCGTATTGTTGAACAGCTGTATATTTTTTCTCCAGATGTTGCGTTGGAGCGTGAAGTTGAGGGCGATTTGGTACTTGGTGACATGGGTCAGGTAGGCATAGAAGTCCTTGCATACGAGCCTGTTGAATCGTTTACACACTGAATTTGTTCCTTTTCAAGTATGATGGATGTACTAGGTATATCTCCATGTTTAGGATTTGATTAGCAGGATTATGGCGAGTCGGTGACCAGTTCTATAAAAGACAAATATCTGAAAGACTACACCTCATATCATTGCTTTACTGGTTTAATTTCTATAAGATGTTTAATTTGTTAATTAAGACATGATCCACAGTACTTTAATTCAATGCAAATGTTTTGTTCCTTGGTTTATGAAGTTCTATTTAATCTATACAATAAAACATCATATAAACTAATAAACCACAACAACATCCAAGCCTTATTCCCAAAGAAAGGAAGTCTTCACATGGCTATTGTAACTAGCCACAATACAATGATATCATTTAATTATCTATTGTCTTTTTATCTTTTCAATAAAGTTCAACTGTCATCAGAAATATTTAACATTTTCTGTTACAACAGGGCTTAGGAATTCGACCTGGTGTTGTTGATGGTGCAATTGGCATTTCATCTATTCAGGTTTCTTCATATTAATCTAAATTGATTGTCTATTTGTTAGGTTGTTCAGTTGTGTAAATTATAGATGGAGACCGGAGATCAGTATTTTTTTCATTACTTTATGTAAAACAAGGTATACATCATGAAGTGCTATCTGTCAAAGTTGTTTTGAAAGACACCTTGAAGTTTCCATTAAACTATTAATGGCATAGATATCTTTGATGTGAGGTGTTTTATCCACCCACCAAATAGACATCACTGTATTCTAAGTTTTTGTTATCTGTTTTGTCTTTCCTGACTACACTCTGTACTGTATTATTAATTTTCTGAAGTTCTTCTACTTATTTCCTAAACCAAACCTAACCAAACAATCCTAGTAAATATACTATCCTTTTACTTATTTCATAGTTGAAGTAGATATTTTTATGGAACATTTATCTGTTGCCTTTTGGCCAATCGTCAGAATCTGTACGAGATAACCTAAGAGCCGCTTCGCGGGAACAACAAAAACCACTATCTCGCTCATGCTTTGACTTCAACCCGATTCCTCCACCCCTTGAACACCTCTAAGTTTACTTGTTTAGAGGAATCTTTTTAGTTCTTTTCTCACTTTCCATTCATTATTATACTAAGTACTACGTAGTATTTATCTTTATTTAGTACTATATTGGAATTTTATAGTTACAATGCTTGAGAGTTTTATTCAATGTTAGAACATCAGATACTCTATTCATATTCAGTTACAAAAGTTTGAATTTCACATTTGCCAACGCATGATTTTGACCATTAATATACTTAAATGGGTATTAGTACATATGAAAAAAAATCATATTTTATAATTCTTAGACATATTTCACTATAATTTTCATATTATGACGTTTTAAACATAAAATATAATATTGTCAAAGTGGAGTATGATTTGTTCCAATTCTCATTTTGATATACTATTCACCGATCAGTGGTTGTGCAATGCGGACAAGTCCTCCCATGAACCCCGGATACGATTGAAGTAAGTCATGTTCTAGTTCTTAATTACTTTTCCATTGAAAGTATGCATTTAGGGTCATTTGAACAAGTTCATTATTTTGTCACAATATTTTGCAGGGCTTTCTTCGGATCATTGTATAGATGTTTGGCAAGGGGAGCAAGGGCAGTGTTTCAAGTGTATCCTGAAAATAATGCTCAGCGAGAGTTGATTCTCGGTTTTGCTATGCGAGCGGGATTTGCAGGTGGTATAGTTATTGACTATCCACATAGGTAATATAAGTGGTTATCCTGAAACTCTTAGTGAAACTTTTAGCATCTTTTGTGGAAACAGCGTTTGGCCTGGACCGGTTCAGTTTCTATTCAAAATTAATTGAATCATTTATGAAATGCAACTTTAAAATTTGGTTGATTTCTTATATCTTAAAATCAGTTTGGTTCTTATAGAGGTTTTCTAGAACCGATATGGAACCAAACAAAGTATAACAGTTGATTCTTGCCTTTTGCAGTTTCAATATATGATTTTAATGGCTAAATACTCTATTTTCTTACCACAAAGACATTCAAAGTTCAAAATCATAAGAAATCAAACTTGTTCAAAACTACAATCATTTCAAACATAATAGTTCAAATATAAATGCATAACAAGTGTAGCTATGTACTTGAGTCTCTAAGTTCTTAAGCAAACCATGTTACTCGAGGCAGTGTTGTTTCTAAGTTCTTCTGTAATGTGCTTGTCCTGATTTTGCTTGAATCAGAAGAAAATTCTGTGGAATAATACATACATGAAGATACTTGAGGGTGGCCAATATCTACCATTACACCATCACCATTTTCTTTTAATAGATGTTTCGCTTTCTGGTTTTTTCCCTTCAATATTACTATATCGAAGACCCAATTCCAAAAAGTGACTACTTTACACATGGATAAAAATATGCCTAACAAGTTAATAAAATTGGAAAAATAGGAATGTCATTAACTCATTATTAGTTTATTATGTCACTGACAGTTTTTTCATGTCACTGCCAGTTTATAATGTCAGTAACGGCAGTAAGTCACTGGAAGTCTTTTCATGTCACTGCAAATTTATTATGTCACATTTGGTTGCTGCCTATTGCCAGTGTCACGGCTGTCGTGAACCATATAACTGTGGGTGTCGGAAAATATTTCTGGTGACTTTCTGACATTTTTTACAAAATTTCAGAACAAAACTGTTCTGGTAGCTGAAGGAGTCAGAATAAGCCTTAGTCCCAAAAGAGTTCGGAGTCATAAAAAACATTTTGGTTCCATTATCTCAAGGAGTTAGATGAAAAGTTATTAGTATATCTGTAGATACAGCAAGAGAGAAAGCGAAAGAGTTTACCAATTGGTTTGTCGCTAACAAAGTCATAAATCGTTAAGAAAATTCAAAATCAAGAGGATCAAAATCGGCTAGGGAGGGAAGGATAGATGTTACTCTGTTAGATTAGTTAGAGAGTTAGTGAATGAATAAATAAACAAATAAGTGCATGTGTATTTATGTATATGTATATGTTGTGTGTGTATATACACACAAATATTTTGGTCAGGAATTTCCTGACCAGATCCCTGTCCGACCACCTCATTTTGAGGTGGTTCCCAGTGGTATTTTTTGCTCAAATTTCACGAGCATGTTCCTCATGAAGTGTAGATGATCTCCACCAAATTTGAGCAAAAAATTCAACCGGGAAGCCAGTCAAATGATTTTTGAAAGAACTGCATTTCCTCCTGGTTAAAAGTTTCCAGTTGCCTCTTTTGAAAGTCCCATGTTAATGTTCCCATTTAATAATCACATATTAAAATTTGAACGCCCATAACATCATCATTATCTTCAATTACACCATTATATTATGTACCCACCCAAACAACTTCTCAAAGTATACTTAAATTGTATTATTTAATCATTATTTAAAAATGTAGGCAATTTTTGAATGGGAACCTTAAAGCGGGAAGAAGGTAGTGTGTATGTATGTACATATTATAATGGGATAAATATTAACAAGAACCGGTTTGTCAATGGCTCGTCATCGTTCCCTTAACAGTTTATCAACGGATTAAATATTATTTAATAAACAATGGTTTCTTATTGGTTCCACAAACCTGTTTTTCATACCTTTAAAGGGACCAAGAACCAAATTGTTAATAAGGAATATGAACCGAACCTGTAACAAATAATAACACAAGTGTTGATACCAACTGGATTGGGTTACAACGATTCGGTTCAGGTCCCTGGTTCAATGTTCAGAAATCCTAGTTCTAAACAGAACGTTGAGTGATGAACTGTTTTGTTTAGCATCCTTATGTCATGGTTCGTTTTCTACTTTAGCTTCATATTTTTCAAACAATTATGGTTAGGCCAATCAAGGTCTTAAATTGTTAATGATTATATTGTTTTGATGCTAAAAATACTGTAGTGAATTCACTGATATGTGGAATACTTTTGGATAATGACAGTACAAAAATGAGGAAAGAGTATCTAGTGCTCACTTGCGGCCCACCATCTTTGAGCAGTACCACTCCTAAAGGAAAGGGTGAAGATGGAGAGTGTTATTCCAGTGATGAAGTTGGTAGCAGTGAAGATGAAGAAAGCCAAACTGTAACTCCAAAATAGATCTACTAAGTTTAATGGATAAGCTCAAACCTTTTTTTAGATGTGTTCAATATCAATTATATATAGACTAGGAAATAAAAAACATACAATTTTTTAAAAAAACACTCATATTTCATATTCATTTTTATTTTACTAGGTAACCCAAATAAAGAAAACTAAGGATGTTTTTAATTAGACTTATTTCAGACAAGATCAGACCAAGCTTAACAGACCAGACCACGCTTTAACAAACCAAACTAGATCTCGACAGTTATAAAATACACAAAGACTAGACAACTACCAGACCAGTTCAAACCAGGTCAAATCAGACTTGAACATATCAGACCAGAGTAGACCAGAAAATTTTAGTCCAAGTAAAAGCATCCTAACATTTCTTTGCATTGTTATCCCTTTTCCAAACATAAACACACGATTACTGTTGTCTGCATGTGGCTTTTTAAATATCTTATCTAGCCAGTTTTATTAACCTATTATTGTTTCTTATTCCATTTGTTGCAGGTCTGTGTATCAGATAGGCATAGACCTAGGAAAAAGCAAAAATTGAATAAGAAAGGCAAAGGAAGAGGGTGGGTCTTGAAGAAGAAGGAACAGATGAGGAAGAAGGGAAATGAAGTTCCTCGAGACACAAAATACACAGCACGGAAAAGAAAGGACCGGTTTTGATGCCCTGGTAAAAGCGCTTAAGAGGAGTAGGCCTCTAATTTTTGTTCCATGCCATCACTTTTTTTTAAAAAAAATCTTCTTTCTCTTCTTTCTATGCAGAGTTTCAAGAGTATGTTTATACTTCTATATTGCTAAACATGAGTTTATGGTGGAAATAGGACATGAGTTTATGGTTTGAATCACCTGGTTTCCCCGTTTTTATATAGGAAAATGCTGTGTAAGTTTCTAGAAACGTAGACTTCTTCAATTGTTTTTTTTGAAGGAAAACTAGTAATTATATTAATTCAACTTATCATTTTCCAACTGACTAACAATACAATTAGGAGGAGAAAACAAACAACATAACCATCCGACATAGAAAGTGTAGCCCTAGCAAGTTTGTGAGCTACTCCATTCGTGGATCTCCTGCAATGAATGACTTCTATCTCTGCTTCATCATGAAGAATGCGTCTAATACCTTCAATAACATCATCATCAAAATAAGAATTGCCCTCTCGATCGGTCGATCCATAATACCTGATGCCACCATGGTGAATCTGTTTCTATCTTGATTCTTCCCAATCCTAGTGATGCCACTCTGGACATAGTCACCCTCACCGCCACCGCTTCTGTCACCCCTGCCGACCAATCTGTTGCCACTGTATGGCATCCGCCCTGAAGAAAGTTCCCGTTCTCGTCCCTTGCAACCCACGCCCAAGCTCTCCTGCCTCAGACCTGATCTAATGCCGCATCAACATTAATCTTTTTGCTGCCAGAACTTGGTCTTTTCCATAGAGGCTTATCCAATGACGAATGAGTGACTCCCACACCCTGTCTTTGTGCCGTATTCCATCCCCGTAACGCAGAAGAGCCTACCTCCAGAATTTGCCTCCAGCCACTCGTCCTGTCCTTCCATACTCGATCATTTCGTGCCTTCCATATACTCCAGAGAGTTGTCACAAAACTGCATAATAGGTCCACCTGCAAGTTAGTAAAAAAATCTATAACCCAATCCACCAGATTATCTCCCTGGTGCACAAAATGGACCCCTAGCTTGCTCCAACAGGTAGAGGATTCTTGACATTGTTTAAAAAGATGTATTTCAGTTCCGTCTTCCTCCTTACAGAACACACATTTACTATCCACATCAACTCTCCTACGCCGGTGTGCTCTTCAATTGGTTAATGATGGCTTTTGATGAATTATTATTAATTTATTATTGTTGTTGTTACTGCTACTATTATTATTACTATTACCATTACTATTATTTGTTGAAGGGTACTTGGAATTAGGGATGGTCCAGGCCCGGTCCGGTTCGGTCCTGGGCCCGGACGGGCTTGAAAGTTTTTAGGTAAGGCTCGAGACCGGCCCCGGGAGTCTATCGGTTCCGGGTCGGGCCGGTTCAATTTTTTTTTTGTGTTTTATTATTTATTTCAACCCCCATCCCCCCCAAACCCCTTGGAAACACCTAGCCCAGCCCACCTAAACCCAGCCCAAACCCAAAAAACCCAAAAAAAAAGGCCCGAACCAGCCGGGCCAGTGTGCCTTTTTCAGGACCCAGAACCGGAACTGGTTACCCCCTTGGGCCAGGCCTAAGCCCGGAACCGGTAGACTCCCGGGGCACACTGGCACCGGGACCCAGAACCGGAATCGGTCCACCAGATTATCTCCCTGGTGCACAAAATGGACCCCTAGCTTGCTCCAACAGGTAGAGGATTCTTGACATTGTTTAAAAAGATGTATTTCAGTTCCGTCTTCCTCCTTACAGAACACACATTTACTATCCACATCAACTCTCCTACGCCGGTGTGCTCTTCAATTGGTTAATGATGGCTTTTGATGAATTATTATTAATTTATTATTGTTGTTGTTACTGCTACTATTATTATTACTATTACCATTACTATTATTTGTTGAAGGGTACTTGGAATTAGGGATGGTCCAGGCCCGGTCCGGTTCGGTCCTGGGCCCGGATGGGCTTGAAAGTTTTTGGGTAAGGCTCGAGACCGGCCCTGGGAGTCTACCGGTTCCGAGCCGGGCCGGTTCAATTTTTTTTTTTTGTGTTTTCTTATTTATTTCAACCCCCATCCCCCCCAAACCCCTTGGAAACACCTAGCCCAGCCCACCTAAACCCAGCCCAAACCCAAAAAACCAGAAAAAAAAAGGCCCGAACCGGCCGGGTCGGTGTGCCTTTTTCAGGACCCAGAACCGGAACCGGTTACCCCCTTGGGCCAGGCCTAAGCCCGGAACCGGAACTGGTTTACCGGGCCGGACCGGTTCTGCACAGTAACGCCATAGCGGGCCGGTTCTGGTCCGGACAGCCCGAACCGAGTCCATGCCTACTTGGAATGCTTAAAATGAAAACTAATTTTTTATGGCTTCATTAATTTTTGTAAAATAATGAAGATCGTTATGGCCCATGGGTGTTTAAAAACGCTACCTAACCCTAAAGGTTGTGGTTGGCAGGACGATCTCTTATTACTTCGTACTCCCTCCGTATCAAATTAATTGACCCGTATGCCTTTTCACGTAGTTTAAGACAAATATATGTAAAGTAGGAGGTTTTTGGTACTGTAGCATTACTGTAGCGGTACTGTAACTGTTTTTTTGGTGACTTTATTTCCAAAAAGGGAAATGAGACATTTATTTTGATACGTCCCAAAAGGGAAAGCGGGTCAATTAATTTGATACGGAGGGAGTATTATTTTTGAAGGGCTGATTACGAACTACACTATAGAAGGTGGAGAATGCTGTGGGTTTTGCCACGTGTTTTCGAGGTAGGTAAGGCCGTAAGGGTGGGGGGGCATGGTTCTTGGGTGGGGGTGGACTCGGGCCGGGTAGCCCGGAACCGGCCCGGGCCGATCACTGTTTGAACCGGCCCGAACCGCCGGCCTGGCCAGGGTCCACCCCTATTCTTGGGTCTGAAACGGATGGATTGGGCACGGGAGCCAGACGATTGTATATAGATGGTTCTGGTTCATCTATCAATCTGAACGGGAGTTGTGGTTGAAGATTGGCCAGTTCTAAGGACTGGGACTTACCTATCATATATTAAGAATGTAGATTCTATGGTATCCCAAATGTACCGTACCTTTGTCCCAAAGGATCAATAAAAATGATACAGTTGAATTTTTTAAATCTAAATTAAAAAGCATATAATGATTTGGACCAATCAAATGCATGGTAGGTACGGTAACCCATTTTTTAAATGGGTATCGGAGTTGTGTATTCATGTGTATAGGCCTCCAAGAGTCCCTATATCATACATCCGGGGGTACGTACACCCGGTCCAATTAAAGGAACAACCCAATAACTAATAAAGCCAATTCGAACCAGTTCTTCGTTTTTGTTATTTTGTACGAAGTACATAGCTCCACCGGTATTTTTCCTTTCTCCTCCATCTTCCCGGAAGTCTTACTTCGTCATCAACTCATCATACGCATATTCCATCTGGAAATCAATTTGGTGGAAGGAAGGCAGCGGAAAACGAGTTACTCAACAGGAAAAGCTCTAAGAAATGTTGTATTTTCCACAAGGAGAAGCCTTTTGATGAAGATTACAGCAATGAAGAAGAAAATAAAGGTTGTTGTAATGATCATCACCGCATTCAGGATCATGTGAAGATTGCGGTACCTCAGTCGATGCAGAGATCATTGGTTGATTGAACTTACATTAAGAAATCTGCGTTTCTTGTCATCTTTCTTTTACTGCTTAAGCAAAAAAATTGCAGACTTCCGAGATGCTGGGTTCGTCTGTTGGTGATCTATAAAAGCCGAACATTTTTAGTTGAAATTATAGAGATCATGAGCTGCTTCCACACCGTCCATTTTTCAGATAATAAATTTTAAAGCTGGAATTTTTATTGAGAAGTAGTGAAACACTAAATAGCTATCATTATCTTTGTAGTTAGTTTTTCGTGTTCTCTTTGCACAACTCCAACCCCCATTGTACATTTTATTGAAAACAACAACAGACTTAGAATTAAAGAAAATTACTAGTATAAAACAATTGAAAGATGGTTCAGAAAAAGAAACAAAACTATCTGTTCGTTAAACATCATGACATTTTAATTGAGCATCAAACCTCCTCTATCGAGATGAAAATCACCGTTGTAAATGAGCACTGCTGAACTTTCAATGAGCATCAGACCTATTATGTTGAGTATTAGGAGTCCAATATTCAGAATTGTGATCTCTGCTTCATAACTTGTGTTTCACTTTCTTTTTGTTATTAAATCGTAAGGTTTGTTAGTTGAACATCATGACATTTTCATTGAACATCAAACCTCCACTATCGAGATGAAAATCACCGTTTCTAGTAAATGAGCATTAATGAACTTTTAATGAGCATCGACCTATTATGTTGAGTATTAGGAGTCTAATATTAAGAATTATGATCTCTGCTTCATAACTTGTATTTCACTTTCTTTTTGTTATTAAATTGTAAGGTTTGTTAGTTGAACATCATGACATTTTCATTGAACATCAAACCTCCACTATCGAGATGAAAATCACCGTTTCTCGTAAATGAGCACGAATGAACTTTTAATGAGCATCAGACCTATTATGTTGAGTATTAGGAGTCTAATATTCAGAATTGTAATCTTTGCGTCATAACTTGTATTTCACTTGCTTTTTGTTATTTTTCTTTTATAAAAACTTATTAAATTATATTTACAATCAACTCCTACGAAAATGTCGTTATGTTACTAACGAGTTTTACGATTTTCATATCAATGAACATTTTGTAAGTTACGTATAATCATTTGGTACTGATGTTATGTTCATTTTAAAATGTCATATCAATGCATATTTCAAAAATATCATATTACATTAAATTCGCATATTGAAATTCATAGGAGTCTATTATAGATATAATTTTGAAATGTTTTCATAAAAGAAAAAATAAGAAAGAGAAAATGACTTATATGATATCAGTGATCTCTGTTTCATACCTTATATAACAATTTATGTTTATTATTTTTTCGTTTATTAAAAGTCTTAAGTTTATGTCTATAATCAATTTCAATAATAAATTTCAATATGTGAATCTAGTGTAGTATGATATGTTTGAAATGTGTAACCTTTTAAAATGAGCATAAAGCAATACCAAATGAGCACACATAGTTTACAAAATGAGTATAAAAAAAATTTAAAGCTCATTAGCGTGTGCTCATTGTTTAGTTATATAACAATAACAATTATTTAGTTATTTTATACCTTTTGTTTTTATTAGATTCTATTTTTGATTGGATATTAATATTGATATGGAAACAAAAGATCATAGAAATCCACCTTAATTAATTTGGTAACTTTTTCAACACTTATTACTATAAGTATTTGATAAGTATTAAGTATACATATTTGTATATTCATGTATAGAATAGAATCTCTTAAAAAGAATACTTTTGATCAAGCAGCTTATTATATTTAATAAGGATAGAAAATTGATATCATACATAAATATATGTATACGTATATGTATATTTATTTTCAAAAGTAAATACATTTAGCCTAGCCAATAAAGTATATATTAGTACAATTTAAATATGACTTAACCTTTGAAATAGATTCCTAATCCAAATTAGGAAATCTTTATATGTTTACAAATTCCTATCTTTATTCAATAGAAAGTTTTTAGTTGGATTAATTTTAGTTTCAGACTAAATCAGACCAGATCAAACTTTAATAATAATAATAAGTCACATAAAATGTAAAACAAGCATCTACCAGAACATATTAATTTAAACCAAATCAAACCCGTAATTTTAATTCAATTAAAAATGTCCTAATTAATAAGTAAAATGTAAGATCTCACAATTAAAATTAAAAAATGTGGATTTCATACATACCAAGTTGAATGAGAAATTTTAGAAAAGTATTATTTTTGAAATGCTCAATAAAGCAATTTAGACATCCATAACAAAATAATGAGTAAAATGTAAAATAAAAAACTCCATTTTTCAAAGTTTACATAGGACAAAATAATGAGTAAAATGTTACATCTTATTATTAAAAGTTAAAAGTATGTACTCAGTATTTCATATCAAGTTGAATGAGGTGTATTACGAAAAAACTTGAGGTGCATAACAAAGTAATTTAGGAGAAATGAGATTATGACTTCTCTAAAATCGGGTTCATAACAATTATTTTTACTTGAGATCCTTATGCAGCAGACCATTTTGACTATTTTTCATATTAACTTTTTATTTGTTTTACAAATTTAATATATTTTACATATTTTTTCGTGATTCGGAAGATTCCACCTATTCAGCCATTCAGCCAGAATTTAATCAATTTCAGCAAAGTAAGCTATCGACCAATTTTAATTTAGTACGATCAAACGGATTCGATATTAGATTGAATTCATTTTGTTGTTGCATCACATTATATATGATCACAAAAAAATGAAATTTAAAATTAGCTAAAATGCATACTGTCCGTGCATCGCACGGGCTTGAAAACTAGTAGTTACTATATAGACCAGTAAGATCACGTATATAATATTCCCTCCGTCCCATTGGACTTTGCCAACTTTACCTTTTTGGTTGTCCCAAAAAACTTTGCCACTTACCTATTAAAGCAACTAATTTGTGATTCTGCACATTTCTCTCTCCTCTGCACAAATATCAACCAAACAGTTTTTACTATTCTTATTTCTCACTTACTTTGCACTTGGCAAAGTCCATCGGGACGGAGCCACGGAGGTAGTAATATAAATATGTTTTTAAGGATATTTTACATTTATTATTTAAGGATCTATCCATAGTTCCATACTGTACTGTTCCAAGTTAATTAATTTAATTGACAGAACGGCATTTCTTCCTAATTTGTCCATCCTTTCCAGTAAGCACCCTGATATTCCCGAGCTTAATCATCGATTCCGGAAAGTCCATGTAAAAAGCGCCCGGATCTCTACTGTATTGGTTAACCAGAGCTGCCGCTTGTGGATCCGTCATCAAAGCTTGATCCGACCCGAGAAGGGCCTTATTTCCCACAAGGTTAGTGAAATACGCGTTGTCGAAACCGTAGGCGGTTTGATAATCCAACGGAACAAGCTTCGGGTTTGACGCGTTCACGTTCGGGCAGCTGCTCTGCAAGCTGGACAGGAAGGCCGGGTCAAGTGACGGGTCTGGTTTTTTTGTGCCGCTATAGTTGAAGAGCCTTGCTTTGAATGTGAAACATTGAGCGTATCCAATGGTGTGGGCTCCTGTGAAATTCACATAAAAATTGGATAATTAACCAGATTTTGGGTCCCATTGCGTGTTTGGGCGCAACTTTGATCTTACCAGGTGGTTACATTAATATTTACCTATTATTATGTCTATTATGTTTTTACATCTAGTCTGGTCTGATTTTTGTATATTTTATAATTATTCAAGTCTAGTGTGATTTAATTTGATTTGTTTAAGCCTAGTGTCATTCAATTTGTTTAAGTCTGGTTTGTTCTGATCTAGTCTAGTCTAGGACTGGAAACAGTTCAAAAGAAAACATTTGTATCCTTCTGATTACAATATGTCTCAAGCTTACAAGCTATTTTAGACACCGGAAATTAAGTTAAAAGATGTGTAATACTACCTCCATCCCGCTAGAAAGTTCCCATAACAAAACGACACGGTTATTTAGGTGATAATTAAATAAAGTACTTCGGGTATATTTTGAGAAATAATTTTAATAGGTATATATTATAATGTGTTAGTATTGATAACTGTGATATTATAAATGTATTATTTTTAATATTTAATGACTAATTTGTCACTTAAGATAGTTAATTGTTTCCTAAAATGGAAATGAGAACCTTCTAATGTGACGTCCAAAAAGGAAAAGTGAAAACCTTGTAACGGGACAGAGGGAGTAACAATTATTCGCGTGAAAAGTTTTAGACAAGTTTTAATTATTCGTGTAACAAATTTCATGTAAAGAATTATCTAAAATATTTTTGTATCAAAATATTTAATATTGTTTGATCAGAATATCTAAAAGAATTAGCTATGCTCCTGTTAATTTAATATTGTTTGATCAAAATATCAAATGTTGATTTTCTCGAATTCAGGCCTGCTTCAACTTATGTTCAATGTTAATTTTACACACATCAGTACTAAAATCAACAAAAAATTTTAACAATTTTAAAGTTTGAGACAATGGTTTTTAATTTATTTGAATTGCTATTGAGTATAGATATGAAATTTATAAGATATAATTGCCATGAAAATTTAATGTGATTTAGAGGTTTTTTCCTAAACGAAATATACTTGAGTCAAATATACTACATCCGCAATCCATAATGTAATACGGAGTATGTATTTGAGTTTGATGCGAGTCTACAAAAAGGATAAAGTGATTGTTTAACCTACAAAAAGTAAGATAGAGTAAGAAGGAATCACAAAAAGTAAATGTGAAATGATAGACAAATGGATAAAGTGAGAAAATAAAATGTTAATGAAGTTCAATTTAACAAATTAAAGTGATCATATTTACGTGCCTGATCATGCAACTCCCCAAAAAAATTAGTAACGCAATTATTTGATTGGCTTAATTAATTTGTACCTGAAAGAACAACCATATCTTTGGTATCAAGACCCTGGGCTAAAAATTTAGTCTTGATATCTTGGAAGCTCTCCAATGGTGAGGGTAAGCTTTTAGTTGCTGCCTCACTGGCAGTTAACCCGTCTCGCCTCCCTAGTGGTGCGCTCCACATTTCTGATCGACCCCCCATGTACTAAAATGTGACAAATGGAAAAAAGTAAAGTTTGTAGATGTTTTGTTTTGAACGGTAGTTTGGTGGTCTGGTTTCCGCAATGACCCGCCCTGGTCCGAGATATTTGGGGCGGGTCCGCCCCGCCCCGTCTTGCAAATGTGGCGGGTCCACCCCGCCCTGCCCATACAATGGGGCGGGTCCGGGTCTTAATATTGACCCGTGCCGCCCCGACCCGTCCCGTCCAGCCCCGCTCAATATATAAGTGTACATTTTTAAAAAAAAAATTATACTACAAATATACAATTATCATAAAATATTTAGTCTTATATTGAGTAATATATTACTTCATAATATTTGTATTTGAATGAGACGAATGTCGAATTATCAATGTCTTTTATACGAAGTGTATTTAATTATTAATATAAATAGATCAACTCTTCAATTCGAAGTGTTTTTTCTTAATTTTTAAAATTTTAAATGTATTGTGTCTTTGATTTAATATATTATTTTTTAATAATTATTTAGAGATAAACTTTATGTAGATTTGAGTGGTAACAACTTCACACAAATAGAAATGCATGTTAGCTAATTAGGTTACAACGGGGCGGGGAGGGGAGGACTCGCGGCGCATGGGGCGGCTCATGGGTCAACAAGCTTGAACCCGTGTGGGTCACGTGGCGGGTCCACCCAGTGAAGCCACGGAGCGGATCCGAGTCTTGCACTATCCGCCCCGCCCCAACCCATTGCCATGCCTATGTTCTGGTGTGGTAAATGTCTGCTTTATATATATGTATTTTATAACTGTTCAACACTAATCTGATCTGGTTTGGTTTGTTTAAGTTTGTGACTTTGTTCTGGTCTGATCTGATCTGCTCTGTATGTTCTGGGACTGAAAACAGACCAATTAAAAACATCCTTAGTTACTCCTATTTTGAGGTGACGGAAATAGCATAGATTACAATGTTTTTACCATAAAGATAAAGTAAAATTTATGTTAAATGGATAAAAAAGAAAATATAACAATAATGATTCGAAAAAAGTACGTAGTATATGTTAAATCATTACTCATTTTCTTTTATATATGATTCCATTTCATTATTTTCTTTTCAGACTATTGTAAGCCTTTTAATTGATACTCATTTTCATACAATGATTGTACAATAAAGATCGTAAAAAAAAGAACGCACCTCATCTCGGATGGTCTCTAGACTCGGCGGTAGAACAATTAGCTGAAAGAGTTCAATTGAAGCATAGTTATTAGAATGCTTTTAATAGAGTGTGAAGTTTGTAGTCAATGGTAAATCCACTTTATTCAAAGGTGTTCATGTAAACACCAACTTTTTTGAAAATAAAACAAAATGAGCCGTTTAATCACTCAAATTTTCAACTTATGTATGCGTTATGACCCATTTTTATGAAATGCGTAACTTTTGATTGCATATGTTGAGTTTATAATAATCAAATACGGAGTACTAAATAAATCTTAATTTTTTTTCGTAATTCAACTGTTTCAGCTAGAATTTCACCAATTTTAATAGATTCAGTTAATTTTATTATTACTAAATAATGGGCTCTATATGGGTAGAATTAATGAAATTTACACTTGCGGTCCTTTTTACATGTTATTTCTAACTTTTAACCTTGCTTTCTAATTTTTTTTCTTGAGAAAGTTATACGAAGTACTAGTACTACGGTATTTGTTGAACTATTGGATCATATCAAACAGTATTAATAACGAAACTTTTGCTAGGATTATTGTCCTTCAAATTCAGAAAAGGTAAGAATAAAAAAAAACTACATAAAAGGTATGAATAAAACTACATACTCGTATAATACGAAGTATAGCAGCATGCACCAAGTTCAGTTAAGAAACCAAGTACTAAGTTAATACTACGTATGATGTAGTACCATGGAAACAGCATTAACGGCTGCAAGCGTTAAAATGTCAGCGCAGGAAACAGTGGAAGGGCAAGCTTTCTCCAAATCTGCCTTTATACTATCAATGACCTCAAAACCTCTCAACGAATTGCGGTTTGGCGGGGCGTTCTTCTCTCCCTTCATATTCGTAGTGTCATCTAGAAGCACCGACCCATCACAACCCTGCAATACAGGGCCAAAATCCAAAATCCCGAAGGATCAAGGCAGATTCTTTCAACTTGATACGAGAAGTAATACAAGACCTTGGATAGGTAATAACGTCAAATTCTCTATTGAAGCGCGGAAACTAAATTAGAAATTGGTAAAAATTTGATGGAAAATAACATTTGTACACAAAATTAGTATACAAATTGTACACAACCCTCCTAGTTGCTTGTACACATGCAATTCATTTGAAAAGGGGCAGAATTTTATGCCAAAATGCGTGTGTACACAGACAGTGTACAATTTAGGCACAAATTTTGTGTACAAAAAAAATTATCCAAATTCGATACTCAAAGTTGGAGGACAAAAATTTTAATGCCACCCAATGAGTAGCAAACTCGCAAAGTCAAGTTTACCAAATGGAGTGATTTATGTATAAGAAGATAGATTACATTGACGAAGCAGTCATGGAAATGAAGACGGAGAAGAGACGCAGCCATTCGGGGGTCTTGCTTGATGGCTGACCAAACACCTGAGCTGACTATCATATGCAAGTGAGGGCATGACTGATCATAAAAATGATCATCAAGTTTTTGACACTCAGCCAGTTTGGGAGGTGACAGAAGCAAGATGACACAAATGAGTGTTGCTGGGAAGGTAAAAACATTGTCACTACCCATAACTTATATGGTTTTTGAATGAAGGAAATGAAAGAAATTCCTTTAACTATGGGATTTAGTTTAATTAGAGACTTATTTGGCAGCAATTTATACACAAAAGATCAATTGTGGAGACAAGTTTTATTGGAGTGGGAGTGGCACTAATGCAATATTGCATGTATTTTTACTAATATACATATGAGAGTAATGGACTACTTAAACTCTTAAAGTCATCCACTTAAACATTTCTATAGTTTTTACCCACTGTTGAGTTATGACTTTAGAGTGCTTAATTAATTTATTAATGGGCAAGGCACAAATGATAATTAATTACGATGATCGATAAGTTAATATGTGTGTCAGCCGCACAATGAACTAAATGAAGTGCTCATCAAGTAGGACTTAATTACACATTTATACGAAATATATTGACATGTTTTTTACCCAGCACAAATAGTGTAAGTAGACTTTAAACTTCCAGAAGTTTAGATTTTATTTATGCTCCATTTGATTTTAAATATTAACTTTCACTTTAAGTAAAGTTGGTGAAAAACCAAAGAGCCTTAGAGGGGGCTTAGATTGATGTCACAACATTCAGAAAGGGGTTAAAATAACAAAAGAATATAATCACATGCAACCATCAGCTTTGAACCAGACTCAGAGTTAATCACCTTTGACAAAGCAATATAACTCGTTGATCTTAACTTGGGCATAATTGAGCCAAAGACGGTCACCACAAACTTCTCGTCACTCAATCCTAATGCAAGAGTCTTACAACAAAAAATATAATAAAAACAAATGACAAAAGTCTTAACCTGAAAATTAAAGTGCAAAACAACAAAAAAATACCAGTCGCACGTCCGGCGGGTCTAGAAGCCTGGACCCGCCGCCTCCCCGAATTTTTGGTCTTTTCAGGGACATGCTCCCGCCTCCTTCTTCATCGAAATTCAGTTCGCTGTCCTCCTCTTCAATAACCATTTGCTTGTAGTGATTCACAACAACCTCCATCAAAGCCTTCGGAGTGTTGACGAAATCACTGCCTTGCAGTCGATTTGGAAGCGCTGAGACTTTAGCCTTGCCGACTCGATTCCGCAGCACTCTGTCTGCACACCTGCGTCAAAGAAAGATCGCGAAATAGACATGGATTATCCATCAAGAGTGGCGGCCGTTCTTCGGCATTGCCGAAAACGGAAAAAAAAAACTACTCTAGCGGCTAAAGCTCTAGAGAGAGAAAGTAGGGTTACGATAGAAGTTGTTGCATAATATTATGAAATGATATACTTCCTCCGCCCCCCAATTAAGTTCCCACTTTCCTTTTTGGGTAGTCCCTAAATTAAGTTCACACTTCAGTACTTTCCTTATTTGGCAAATTATCTATATCAAAACAATGCCAAACAGTATCAAACAGTGTTTAAACAGTGCTAAACAGTGCACTCCACAGTAAAATCAAATTTATTTTTATAATATGTGTGAAGTCAAACCAGGAACTTAATTGGGGATAATTACATACTCCGTGATATAATACATTTTTTTGATGGGATAATTACATACTCCGTATGATTCACTCCATTAAAAATAAGCGGACATAGTGAAACCAAGTAAAATCCATGTGACTCCATATACAGTGACGTCATATATCGGCCCTTAAATCTTTTGAGGGTTTATAGAACATAATAGATGACGATTCTTAACTCTAAGAACTCTTACATTAATTCACTTGATTGAAATGAAAAGTTATTTATAGTTATACATGATTCTCTTTGGTTGAAGGGTGTGAAAAATTGGGTCTTTTGGCAGCTTTAAAATCAGAGTTGTGGAATTCCTAAATCGGAGTTGTGGAATTCCTAAGTGCTTCCTTTAGTCCCTTACATATTTGGAGTTTTGTTTCGTGTAGACACCCAGTTACACACCCACTTACATACCAAAATATAATTGTTTGTGCACAGACAATTACGCTTCGATTTATTAAAGAGAAGTGTATATAATCCCAAATTGTCTGTGCATAGACAATATTGGAGTCACAAACAATTCACTTCACTTTACAGATTGAAAGTCATGACTTGACTAGCTTCATTTTGAGAAGTGGAAATCAATAATGCCCACCCCATTAGGTATAAAAATCGAACAATTACTACTTCATCAATGTATGACTAGAGTTTTGATCGTCACAAACATGCCATTTTTCCTTCGACCTTTTCAGAAGAATCGTATGTGCTTAGATCAATTGTTCCCTAGAATTTAATCAAGCTCTTTATGAAGTTGTCCTTTAATAGCAAGTAGACATTTCATTATGTTAAATTGTTAATGTTGTTCGTGCATTGTTATATTGTTAATATATGATGTGTTTCGATCAGTAAATCAGTAATTATTACTCTATACTATTATTTTGCGATCTTCAACATAGGAAGAAATTGGGCTTGAAGTGTATCCTGTCTCGGTTCAAAACCTATTTCGTGGAATTCGAAGAAACAAAAGACTATGAATTTATCCTGAGCAAAAACAGAGTAGATTGCAGCATATGAAGCGGTATGGGCGTATGGCTTAGAAGATTAATAAAATTAATTGATCTCCTTTATAAAAGACCATTGAGAGATGAGTAGGATTGTTTTCATTCCCATACCAGACACACCAGATCGGACTTAAACAGATCAGGTCAAATCATATCAGACTTCCATAGTTATAAACATACAAGATTAAAACAGACCAGATCATATCAGACTAGCAAATTCCATAATATTCCAAGTAAAAACATCCTAATATTGAGATGAGTAAAATTGAATTAAATCCTTCAATCATGAAAATGAACTTATGCATATTACTTTGTTAAATCGAATACTTAACTTATTTATTCTAAGAGAAACATAATTAAAATACCCCAAACTTTGAAGGGTATGTGAGACAACATCCAAACTTGTATATGTAATTTCAATACCCCAAACTTTATATAAAAAGTTATTTTAGCACCATAATCCAGTATTATTTCTATCAAAAATTTAAATTTATGGTGTTACTTGCATAACTTAAAATATTTTACAATTCATAAAGACACAATTGACATTCTAAACTTCCATTTCGAATTAAATAATGTTACCCCAATCTAACAATTTACAAACTGGTTTTACAACTTCTAAAGCATAAAATGTGAATGGACTTCACATATTTACATAATATTAAGTATGTTATTACGGAGTATGTTTTATTAAGAAATCACAACGTATTTAGTGGCCAAAAATATTGGAGTGCATGCTACTCTTCAAAAGGGGCAAAGAAGAAGCGTACACGGTGCATAAATTTGATGTACGGATTTTTTTTATCCGTTAAACTTTTACGTAGTATCGAACATCCATTTGTTGATTATACGCATCGATTTTGTTGACAACAAGAAAAAGTTAAGTCGGGCGATAATTGCAATATCATTGGCTAGCTAACATCATAATTGTTGCAAAGAAGAAAGGACTCGAAGACTCGGAGTTGATTCTTAGTACACTCTAATAGTAATAGGGAAACGATTGCTTCAAAGGCAGAACTCAAGTGGTTCCAAAGTTGGTGTTCTTGTGAACCCTCAAAATTTAGATTTGAAGTAAAAAAAATACATGTATAATACTTCTTGATTAATTTTAACTACTGTTGGAACATATTGTTTTGTTGATGACAAACGACTTGTGTTACTTTTGGTCTATAATTGATGACTAACCATGCAGGTGGAACGACGGACAGAACCGCTCCCAGTTCCTGTTCCGTGATATGGTTTGAATTAATATTGATTGCACCTACTTGAAAATTAATGTGCTTTCCTTATGTGAGTGCTCATTCTTTGTCAAGAATATTATAGGGAATAATATATACGTAATTTGATTATATGAGTGCTTATTTGAGTGGCATATCACTTTATGGAATATATAGCTTTTTACTTTATGGAAAGTATCTTTACTTAAATGTGAGTGCATGATCCCTACATTATTGGTTATATACGTAGCATGCTAAGTACTCCCTTTCAGGGGCGGAACTAGTATAGAGCTCGAGGGTGCACGTGCCCCTGCAGACTTTTGTTTGTTTAGTACTACCTCCGTCCTGTTGGAATGTTCCCGTTCGGTTTACGATGCTTGACTGACGATAAAGCAACTCGAACCCTGTTCACACTCCGCTTATTTTTAGTAAATAAAATTTACATATTCAGAAACTACATTAAAACCGCTACAAAGCCTGATCAAGAAAAGTTCAATTTGATAAAAATTTGATATATAAAGTAAAAGATTAGGAGTGACCTAAGTTGACCAATGAATAGTGAACGAGAACATTCCAACGGGACGAAGGGAGTATATATATACATATACTAGAGAACAACGAAGGGATCTATTCGCATGGTTTATTAGGATGTTTTTACTTGGACTGTAATTTGCTGGTCTGGTCTGGTTTCTTTGTATTTTTATAACTATCCAAGTGTGGTCTGGTCAGATCTGGTCTGATCTGGTCTGGGACGAATTACAGTCCAAGTAAAAACATCCTTACTCTAGCGCTGGTGTTCGTGTGTCGGCTAGAAGGAAAGGAAAAGATGGAAATTTATTACTATTGTTGTAGTCTGTACTTACTATGGAGACCATCTCAATTGCTTATCACTAATTTTGAATTTAAATTGGGCCTTTAATTGACAATTTTGGGTCAATACTAATGCTTGGCAAGCTTGAGAATAATTCAAGGTTTTATTTAGGCCCTAAATCAATCTATCGCCTCCCGACTTGTCCCCCATCCCTTTCGTAATTTTGCATGTCACAACCTTTTCGGCACATCTTCTTGCCTCCGCCCGCCTTGTCGGAGATCTCAATTTTGGGCCATAGCAGGGCGTCCACTTTGTCGAGTTGTCGGAGATCTTCTCGTTCCCATTATGTGTGCCCCTCCAACATCTTCGAGCTGGTTCCGCCACTGCTCCCTTTAGGTTTGAAAAAGTAATCCTTAGTTAAATGATTAATTGAATATCTTTTTGATAAAGTTCTTTAATGATTGCATCCACTCAAATAAGGAAATTGTTTTTAAAAGAATCCTCATAGGGTCGTTGCTTCTTTGCTCTTATTGTGAAGAATTCCCTACCTTTTAAAGAGTTGACCATAGCTCGCCTTATTTGGAAATAAATTCAAAAAGCTTGGAATCCTTATTAACCTCACGTGATCTGATGCATGATTTATTACCTTGATATTTTGGTTGACTGACTTATATATTAAAGCTCAGATTTGGCAAATTCTATGGAAGGAAAACAATTCAAAATATCAAGGCAAGTCCCAAAATTAGAAGATCATCTATTCAAAGGAAGAATGCTCCAACGGATTTAAGACAGTCTATATATAATCGAAGAAGCTGAAGAGAAAGGAGTGTGCTTGACCAGAGAAATATTCAGAGACACACTCGAGAAAAATACGAAGTTCAAGGCACCTGAAACTGCTCACTCGGAGTTCTAGATAGAGTTTCTTCTTTCCCTTCTTCATATTGTAATGGGTTTTTGAGGATTGGCTAAGAGTAGCCTCCTCGGGTTGGTTTGTGTGTGTGAGAGCTTTGTTGTAAAGCTGAGAGGCTCTCTACCCGCAAGGTAGAGATGCATAACTCTTCCTAGAGAGGATAGAGTTGGGGTGGCTCAAGGGTAGACTAGGAGAGTTTCCCTTGTAATCATTCAAAAGGCTTTTTAGTGAAGTTGTTTAAAATTCCTCCGAGGGAGGTCGAGGTTTTTTAATCCCTTTGAGCCAAGGGATTTTTCCTCGTTAAATCCTTGTGCACTTTACTTTTCGCAATTCCCTTTACCCCGCACTAGAACTGGGCGAAAAACTGCCACGGTTCCACACACAATTCACCCCATCTTTCTGGACATACAATATACATAACGCTCATTAAATTAACATTTGAAGGAAGTGACAGAACAAAAATAGTTCCTTATGGACTATTTCAAGTTCAATTTTTTTTTTTTGGATGAATTCAAGTTCAATTTCTTTTGATGCGTGATTGCAATTGGTTCTTCCTATTATTTGATACTTTTTCCATTTCATCAATTCATTAATGGTCAAAGAACATACTTCACAATTAACCTAAATAAGTTTTAATATCTGCAAATCTTTTTTTGGTTCCGTA